AACAATTTAAAATAGGCCCATTTATATCTAAAAATATTTATTTGTAAATTACACAAATTAAAAGAGAACAAAGCAAGAATCTTTAAAAAAGCCAAAAAATGCACGTTTTGGTGCCCTCGATTTGCATGGAAAAAGGTTTCAATCTATGAAATAGTTGTAATAAATGCGTAGAGGGATGAATGGACAATCAATTTTGCACAAATTGGATTTTAAAACGATCACAAAATCTATGAAATAGCGGATTTTGCCAAAAGGGAAAAAACATTTCTACATCAACTAACAAACTTAAGCGAAAAAAGTTATATAAAAAAAAGTACAATGATAAAAATTCAGATCCCAGTTTCAAATAGTAGAAGAACCTCTTTAGATAAAAAATCATAAATAAATTTCACAAAAAAACAACAATATTTCACAAGGATATATTTCATCTTTGGCAGAATAAAAATTGTAAATTTTTCGGGCTAGATCCACCACGCTGTGTTGTTTTTTTTTTTTCACCACCAATCAACAACAAAATCTAGTACTTGTCTCGCCAAAGACCATTTTAAAAAAATTTTCAACAAAAATATGCAAAGAAATCAAAGAGAAATTCAATCTCTAGCGGACTGCTAAGAGAAACTAGTAAAAAAAGTTTATTTTTCATAAAAAAAAAAATCATAGAAAATAAAATACTAAATTATAAATTAATGCACCTAATTCATATAAAAGTGAAACCTCCATAGATCGATAAACCTATTTCAATTTGAATAAAGACATCCCTTAATATGATTTATGAGTCTTTCTTTGTAGATCTCTAGCTTTTGGACTCGAAAATTTTTGTGCTAGATCCACGAAATATATTGGTTTTTATCAGCAATCACCAATGAAATCTAATACTAGGGTCTCCAAAGAGCATTTTAAAAAGCAATTACAACAAACCCTGTGCAGTAATCGAAGAGAAAATCACTTTCTGGCGCACTGCTCTAATAAACAAGGAAAACTGTAGATTTTTCAAATAGAATTTTGGAAAAAATGGGGAACCGATTTTTTTTATGATCTTTTTATCATCAAATATTGTTTTTAAATATAAAAATGCGTTATTGAGATCAATTATTGGCCACGATATTGCTGCAAAATGGAGATTGGAACTACAATTAAGAGACTTATGGGTTGCAAAATTCTTTTTTTTCAGTGGATCGGTGATTATATTGTAGCGAATCACCAATTCACCACAAGAGAATCGGTCATCCAGGAGGTGAATCGGGCAAATCCTGATATATGTGGAGACCTATCTGTCTAGTGCAGAATTCGATAGGAATCAAGCGATTTCGATCCGGGTTGTCAATTTTTTAAATCTTGGTTTTACGTCATGATCTAAAAGCCATCATAGATCATACCTCTAATATTTCTTAGAGGTTATCGATTGAGTCATAAATGATATTGATCAAAAAATTGATAGCATTGCTGATTTTTCTGCTGAAAAATTCATCGTAAAACATGACTTGATTAAGTTACTTAATCTAAATCAATCCCAACATTTTCTAGATATGAAAATTATAATTTAGATAAAATTTGCGGTAACAAAGATATAAAAAAATATGATCAAAATGTGAAGTTATTGATGTTTTTTCTACTGCAAAAACAACACTAGAAACAACATCATTTGATCTCGAAATAGCGTGATTTTTGAGTTATAAAGTCACTCCAATTGATCCGAAATATTTTCCAGGTATTGATTTGTCATTCAAGGATAAGCATTAACTTTGATTTTATCCTGCCTTCACGAAGAGGCCTATAGTACCTAGGGGTAGTAATGGACCGATTGGCCTGGCTTGACCTTGAAAAAATAAGGGCTTGGGCTGCAAAATGTGGCATGAAGGTTAGGCCATGGGTGGGCCACCATGGCTCAAGGAAAGGGACGGGCCCAGCCCAATGCCTCTTCACCTCTGTCAAGGTCGGGCCTGTCTTGTAGGGACTAGGGATGAGCTAGAGCACCCGGCCCATGTTTTAGGACGTTTGTTCTCAGCGGTTGTTATATGTGTTGTAGAACAACCAACAATAACATCCTATATTGCATCAACCATGACAAATTTGACAAAATTAATAAATAAGAATAAACCCAAGTTGAAAAACAATGAAGTTTTTTTAAATTATTTTTTGAAATAACACATTTAGAAATGTTTCTACGAAGTTGGAGTTTCTATTTTTTTTTTTTTCTTTTTGTAAAAATTGCAAATTTCATGAAGTTTTGCTATGGGTTAGACTCCAGCTAGAAACTTTCCATTACTTAACATCATTCCTCTGCATTTTTTGCAATCATTATTGGAAACCCATGTTTTCAAACCTGGATTGGCATAAACTGCTCTAGCTTCACAAATCGTTCATCTAGATCGGCAATCAAGCCAATTCTTTTTTGGTGAGAATTGGTATATTAAAATTTTTGATTTTTTTTAACCAATAAAAGAGTGATTTACATACCGACCCTAAAATTTTAGATAAAACACGAAATGCTCCATTTTTAAATGGAAATTACAAAGAATGTCGATCAACCCACTTTTGTTATTTTTTTCAAAATTGCCCCTTGATCAACAGGCATTTTGTTTTCTTTTTAATTTTTTTTGTTAGTAGGGCAATGCCTTTTTTCATTAGTAGGCAATGTTTTAAAGCTTGGGGCAGTTTTTTCGTTAGTAGAGCATTGTCTTAAAGCTTGAGGCATTGCCCTACTAACAAAAAAACTAAAAAAAATAAAAATTTTGATTGATCAAGGGGAAATTTTGAAACCATTAAAAAAAAAAAAAGTGGGTTCACCAACCTTCTTTATAATTTCCACCTATAAGAAAAGCATTTTGTATTGGTTGTGGTTTTTATACGATTGCAACCTTAAACAAACCAATTAAGGTACACTTCCAAATTTTATCATAATATGTAATTTTGTTGTGAAAAATACATAAGATTATCTAAAAATCTATTTTAATATCTAATTATAAAATTTTAAATTAAAAAAATGGTCAAAATCGTAGATCTATAAATATATCGAAATATTGAAAATGGACCAGCTAGATAAATGCATTGCAAGATGCACTTTTCTAAGGCTCAAAATCGTTTTTTTTTTTTTTCAATATTCATACATCTCGATGTCGAGATGATCAATTAAAGAGTGTTTCTACATTAAAACAACATTTTTCGATAGATTTTTGAGGTGCATCTTTAATTCTACATTTTTAAGTTGCAACCTTATATAAACTTTTTCTTTTTTGTATTTTACTTAAAATTTTAAGATCCATACATAAACTACTCAAAATTATGCTAGAGTAGGGTAATACAGACATGATTCCTAATAAGATCGCTGTAATTAATGGCATTTTAACTCATTTTTAAGAATTATAATACAAGCTTGAGGTACAAATTTACCGTGAAAAAGGGAACAATAAAAGGAAAACCTCAGAGAAGGGGCCGAGGGAGTAAAAATTAATTCTCTTTTTATTCGACCTTTTTTCACAACCTTGCTGCTGCCACGTAAGCTGGAATTTTAGAGAGAGAAAGGGAGGAGAGAGAGAGAGAGAGGCGTCACCGCATCACGGTGTCAAATTCCATCAACCGAAATTGACGCGTCAAAGCAGAGCAGACGGTGTCATTACTGAGTCACTGTCAACAGTCCCCCTTAAATTAGTTTCATCGGTACCCCTAATAAGTGAGCAATAATTTCTACCGTAACCTCCCATAAAATAATTAAAAAGCCAGCTACTGTCCTGTCATTGACAAATTTGTCAAGGGTGGCTGACGTCCCTTTGTTTGCCTTGCAAGCAAGCTCTTCCTTTACTTTTATCCCTCTTAAAGATGGAGAGATAATGAAGAGAGCGAAAATGATGAGAGAGAAACTGACTGAAGAGTAGAGAGAGGAATAAGGATTAGGAATAGTAAGGTGCAAAGGGGTGGCTAAAAATAAGGAGTAGGGTTAGAGGTGCACCTCAATACTCCATGTTGTTTTAGTGCTTAAAAATCTTTTATTTGATTTAGATATATAAATATAAAAAAAAAAATGAATTTGAATTCGAAAAATAGTGTATTTTATAACATATTATCTAGACCGTCTATTTTTAAGATTTTGATATGTTTATAGATTTATTTAATTTTAACCATTTTTAGTGTTTAAAATTTTATAATAAAATATAAAATAGATTTTGAGATAATCATAATAGTTTTTTATACCAAAATTGCAATAAATTTTGAAAGTGCGCCTTAATTGAATTGTTTAAAATTACAACTTTATAAAAACGACACCCAAAAGTAAATGATAAAAAAAAAAATATTAGCCCTTGGCCGACCCATATGCTACAATTTGTAGCTTAGACCCTGACTTCTTTTTTTTAAGAGTTGGGTCGTTTGACTTTTTGTTTTTTTTTAAGAGTTGGGTCGTTTGGCCTATTGCAGTCTTAATAAGAAATAAATAAAAATAAAAAATAGAGAAAAATTGATAATAAAAAAAGTGCACAGACTATTGATTTAAGAAAATGGATGGGTGTCTTGGATGGAGCATCACAAAAATTGATTATGATCTACGAATCGCTGGCCCGGATTGCACTTTTATTATGTGGAAAAATAGTGAACCAATGAAAAAACATGTGAACCGACAAAAAACTAGTTCGGATTAGTGATTCGACTTTTATACTCCAATAAAAAGAGTTTTTACGGTAGTAAAATGCCATTTTACTGTAAAAAATAACTGATTTTTTTTTAAACCCAAACTCAAACCCAAATAATTTTTTATACTAATAAATTCGATATATCGTGCAACTGATTTTTAAATCGAACCGAACGATAATTTGTGAACCTAAAGTTTTTGAAATGATGGGGTACAAAGTAAAGAAAAATGTGAGAAATGGGAGGGAATGAAAGTGTAGAGAGAGAAAGAAGTAGAGACCGAGGAAATAAATGAGAGGGAATGAAAGTGTAGAGAGAGAAACCGAGGAAAGAAAATGTGAGAAATGAGAGGGTGTAGAGAGAGAAAGAAGGGCGTATCAGGAAAAGAGGGTCCGGCCCATCTCGGGAAACTGAAATGAAGCTGCGAGAAAAAGTTTAATACCCACCCACATGCTGCCTTACTGCAACAACAACAAACCCCTCATGTTTTTTATATACACAAAAATACACCAACCATATAAATACATAAACAAAACTTTATGATAAAATTTAAATAAGTGGAAAAAGAGGCCTATCTCCAATGGACAGCGTGGTGTAATGGGTGTTCTCGTGAGGTGAGAGAGAGGGGGTTTGCAGATCGCACGCAGGCGTCTTTTTATGCTCTCCCTCTCTCTATCTTTTCTCTCTGATCCCCGATTCTGTTTCAGATTTTCTAGTGCTTTCTCTCTCATCACTTTGTCATTTGTTTAGTGTGCGAGAACGTTGGGTCGGAGGATGAGGTGTTAAGGCAGAAGAGAGAGAAAGGGGGGAGAGTTAGAGAGAGGGTTCAGGCATGCAGAGCTTCGCCCCGCCTCCCGGTTCCTACGCATTGTACTCCTCTAACCTTGCTCTTGTTTCTCTCTCTAAATCTTTTTTGGGTTAATTTTCAGTTCTCTAAATCTTTTTTGGGTTAATTTTCAGTTCCTGTGTTGTGTTCCTGTTCATATGTGTCTACAAATTTTATGCATATGGAGCAGTAGTAAAAAACCAATCTTCCTATCTAATTTCTTTCTGAAATTCATGCTTAGTTACTGTCAAGTTCATTTGATTGATTTTAGAAGTGATTCACTATTGGGTTTCTCTCTGTTCTCAATTTGATGGTTTCTTGTGTTTATCAGAGGTGCAGAGTCTAGCCGTGGCCACTCCCGGGTGTCTGATGCTGGAGAGCTGGAACAGTCAACTGGTTTTCGTGTTGACGATGCGGTGAATTTGAGCAGGGGTGTGTTATTTAATCTGCGATAATTTTTCTTTGGGTTTTTGTTATTTCCCCTGATAAAGTAAGAGCTAAGCTGCTTTCTTTTTCTCTTTGATATGTTGGTTTTCTTTGAATTGGGTATGCTGTGTTGATTTTCATGAACCGAGTTCCTTTATCTTGATATATCTGCTAATATATGAAGTTTTCTATATTTAGTCTCCTTTTCTGTCTGTTATAGGGATTATATTCAATCCAAAGCCTGGCAGCCCAGTTGTGACATCTAGTCCTTTGAAGTTTGGGGCTTTGAACAAGGTGCAGTACATTTTAGGCTCTTTTTCTTATTATTTTTTTTGGTGATCATACGTGAGATTGATAATGGCTCCCCCTCGTTGTCTCTCTAAATTATTTAGTTGGGGGTTCTTCAAAGTTGCTTTCGTGCTTTCAAGGGATGATAGTATGCAAAATCTCTTGTTGCTCTCTCTCTCTCTCTCTCTCTCTCTAAATTATTTAGTTGTTTGTTGGTGAAGTGATCATAGGATGTTTATCATCTATTGTTCTCCTCTCTCTCTTTCTCTCTTCCCCCAAATTTATTGAATTTGTGTTCCTTTCCTCAGCAAATCGATTCTTCAGATATACCTTCTTCAACAAATAGAGGGGAGCTTGGTCGAACCTCTTCTCTAAAGGGTTTACAAACAAACACAGGCTCGCTATCAAATAACCAATTTGATAGTTGGGGAGACTCTGGCATGGCAGACACAAGCCCTAGGACCGACACCTCCACGGATGTTGACACAGATGAGAAGAACCAACAGGTCATTCTCTTATGATTTCTTTCGCATTTTCAATGTTTTTGGATTACAAATTTGAATGTGTTTAAAAGCATATGACTGCTAGTTTGATGAATTGGAACTTGATGCAAGTAGCTTTTGGGCTTCTCTCGATCGTTTGTTGGATTTTCAAACTAAACTTCTCCCGGATTGGTTAGCATCATATGATTCTCTGATACGTCATAGCCTATGCATTGATTGGCAATGCACTTACTAATTGACATGTGGGATATAATTAAAAGACACGGTTTCTATTAGTCCATGTAGAAATGAGTTGGCTCTTAAAAATCTATTTTTGAGATGGATCTTCGGACCCAATTTTTAAGGACATGTAATCTCTAACATAGAGATCAAGAATATAAAAAAATAAATAAGTTTTAAGAAATAAAAATAATGATTTTATGAAGAAAACATTTGGACTGTCAGTTTCAATTGTTTTTAGATGGACCACCTATTTGCATCCGTCTTTAAGATGGTTGCCTTATACCTTGGGACCACATATCGTAGAAATGCAGTCCAGCCTGCATGAAACAATGTTTCATGATTAAATGCTCGAATTTCCGATCTTTTTTTTCAATACACTTTATCCTTTGCAATGACTAAAAATAGACAAAATCATCCACCCTTCATTTCTGTTCTAATGTAGATTTGATATTCTTTCTTGTTGTCTTATAACTGAAATTGGCTAATTATATGTTTTCTTTAATGGTTTGTATGTAGTGTTAGAGGACTTGCTTCCATTTTTTGTCTGTGTACGAGCATACAAAAATATTTTCGTTTATACACATGGCATCGATGTAAAAAACAGCCAAAGCAAACTGGTTGGGCTGATTGTCAATCCTGCTAGGGCCTAAAATAGAAAGAAACAATAAGTCTAAATAGGCATTGATTAGTCTGATCTGTTCTTTGGGATCTGGCATGCCCTTGCCTTCTTCTTTGGGTTATATTTGGTTGATAGCCTTAAAGAGTTGTTTGTTTTTCATTTAGAAACCATTTTGGTGGATTTCAGGAGATTTAGGAAGAGCATGTGGTGTAGTATATGATAGATAATTTTGCTAGTTATGTGGCAGCTGGATTCGTATTGATTCCAAAGTGTACATATTTGTTTGGACACCATGTGTTGCATATTAGAGTGATCTCATTCGTAACAGAGTAAGGGCACATTTGATTCGTATGAAATTTTTTTGATGAAAATATTTTCACATGAAAGAACTCTCCCATGTTATTAGGGATGGGAATTTTCTCACACCAACTGTTCCATTCTTATGGTAAACTTTTCTGTAATAAACCAGTTAGTGTGAGAAATTCCCATCCCTAATACCATGGGGGAGTTCTTTCAAGTGAAAATATTCTCACAAAAATTTCCATACAAACCAAATGTGCCCTAAGTATTTTGAGAAAATGAAAGTGGTCGAACAAGTGATAGGGAAAGCTACCGTTTTAGCGGGTTCTCATTTAATTGACAGTTTGACATGTTGATTTTGTTGGTCTCTATTTTTTATTTTTTGGTGTATAATTTGCATATGAATTTGGTGGTATTCATATGGTGCCAAGTACGCTTCGTAATTCCCGTTGTCTTATTATGCATTTTAGTCACTTTCTTAAGTTTTTATGAGCTTAGAATCTGGATATCCTTTTTTTTTTTTTTTTGATGTTGTTAGAATCTTGATATCATTTAAATATTAGTATTGAATGATTCATGACATGAAACATGTTCATGTTGGTTTAGTTTTTCTTTTTGAGAATCTTGTTTCATTCCATCCCTGCAGGCTTTCTGATGCCTTCACCTCCTCTCTTTTTTCTGCTTCTACTCAGAAAGCACCCAAAGGCTCTATCATCCCTTTAGCATCCTGAAATCATTACCTGTAATGCATGTAGTTTTGGAAAATATTTTGTTGTTGTCCTCAGTCCTCATCTCGTTCGCCACTTCTTATGGGTTGAGATACCCAAAAAGGCTCCAAAAATCAATCGGCTCCACTCCTAATTCAATCTCATGCACCAAATGTCGATTTGAAACTCTACAAGTGTTCCCAATCCTCTGCCACCTCAAAATTATAATGGAAAGTGGATTTGGAGTTCAAAATCAAATCTCATTTGTACAGGATATTTTGGGGGCTTTTCAGGGCTTTTTCAGTTTATCACCATACTAGAAATTAGTGGTTGAGGTGAAGCAACATGGCAACACTGAAATCTATTCTGTCTTCATTGTCCATGTCCCTCACAATATAACAATTCTAACAAATTGTGCTTAGTGATAGCTACCATAACCTTGGATAACTAAAACTAGAAGAAGGAAAGGGTCCCCAAGCTTCAATCGTATCCGTACCTCCTACACACTCCCCTCTTTCCTTCTTACTTCTATCCCTGGTGCTGTAAGCTTGTCTTGTTTGGATTTCTCAAATTGTTATGTATTCCCTGTTCTTTATTTAAGTTAGCTAGTAAGATGTTTTGTCCTTTACATATCCACAACTCCTGCCTTAATATCCAGAATATGTGTGTGGTTGCATGATAGCTAGCATGTAATTGTCCTAAAATCTAGCAGCAATCGCTGGACCTAATCTATCATGGAAAATCTTATAAGCTTATTCAGATGTGAAACTTTGGTTTTCTTGGTTGGCTTTTGTTCAAATTAAAATATGTGCGGGAATTCATTCTTGTTGCCATATGTATAATTGATTGTCCTAAAATATAGGTTCTACCGTTTTACCTTTGTGGTTGTTTAACTTTGAAACCGCTGAAAATGCATGGAATCTAAAAAGCAATTGTCGTGGCAAGGCATTTGATTTCTTTTCAGGTGCTCTTAGTCTTATTTTTTGACTTTTTTGAATATTCTTTTTATGATTGTAGGGATTTCAATTAATATTTAGAGAAGAAATGAGGCTTGCATCATTTGATAGATTTACATATTGATTTATATTGTTCTGGCATTGTTCAGTTCCTTGAAGGTCAGCGTGCATCTTCGGATTCTCTGGATAGATCAAAAGATAAAACTGGGGATCAGAAGGTTCTGACAATGACCTATTTTCTTGACATGATGATGTATGACTAGGACTATTTGGGATCAATTGTCTATGCTTCCACTAATACTAGAGAAATTATGTGCAGACACTCCGACGGCTTGCTCAGAATCGTGAAGCTGCAAGGAAAAGCCGGCTGAGAAAGAAGGTAAGACAATTCTACTAAGTTTTGGCCCTATTTACAATAACTGTAATAGCTATATCATGTATCATAACACTCACCATTTCTGTATATATGTTTACACGTATCATAGTCTTTTTTTTTTTTCCCATCATCATCTGAGCCTTATCCCAACTGTATAGGATCAGCTATATGAATGTTATTCCACCATTCCGCTTTATCAAAGGTCATACCCTTAGTCATGCCGTTATTGACTATATATTTTCTTATTACTTCTGTTTATGTCCTTTTGAGGCCTTCTTTTTACCCTTTTAGAGGCGTCCACTTAATCACCCCTCCGAACTAGTGCTATTTAGGGTTGACATTGTACATGACCAAACCACCTAAATCTACTTTCCCTCATCTTATCTTCTATTGGAGCTACCCCAAACTTCCCTCGGATGTATTTATTCCAATTCGAACATTCTTTGTCTTGTTACTCATCCATCTCAACATCCTCATCTCTGCAGCACTCACTCTATGGGTATGTTGATTCTTAACTGCCCAACATTCTATCCCATAAAGCATGCTAGTCTTATAACTGTCCTATAGAACTTTCCCTTCAGTTAATTATTATTATTATTATAAAAGAGTTACATTAATGAATTAATTCCTTTACATGCATATGCGCACAAAATTGTGCTCATCTATGGTATAAGAGACTACAAAATGAGATAACATGAAAGTTTTGTGAACCCCTTTTTGTGCCAACTGACCTATTATCACATTGGTTCCCCCCCATGAGTTGTGGAGGGAAATACAAAGATTACTAATTGCTGGGAGTATCTATTCAAAGATGCATGCTAGCCTCCAGTGGTGTACTGGTTCCATTTTTACCAAGAGCTTGCGTTCTTCGAATCTCCTCCATTTTCGATCTCCCTCCACTCTGGTTTTAGATTACATAAGACCTATTGGCAGCACTCATGCTTACACCTACTCTCAATCACATACTGGCCAAGGTCCAGAATAAATCATCATTATTCTTCCCAAGTGATCTCTAATGTGCCTGAGGTTCCTTGGGAACTACCACCAAAAATAGATAAAAGTAATTTTTTTCCTCCTCCATCCTGAGGAGCCTGCCGACTCCACTGAACTTCTATTGATACTTGGAGAGCTTATCCCAATAGAATGCAATGGTTTTCAAAATCATCTACTGAGATTCCCCGAAAACTCCTTACAGGCTCGTGCCTATGTGATGACCGTGGCTTTCACCTTGTCCCTTAACCAGAAATGTTTTGGCTTGAACTTCAGGAACTTAAGGTTTCTAGTTCTTTGTTGATGTGTATGTCTTTGACACTATCTTGAATTGAAGGAGAAGGACTAATATGCTTATTGAGGGCCACCAAGTTTGGTCAATTCCTTCAATTTGGTGGCATGTGTAGGCTCAACCTCTATGAGCTCGAAGGATTTGCAGTGGATTGAACTACTTTGAGCTGGAAATTTTACCTCTTCTGTTGTTGATTGCGTTAAACTGTTATACTTCTGTTGCTGCATGTCCTGCATCTATTCTATAGAGTACGGGCTATGCTAAGTGTCGAAGACATTGTATCTTAGTGTCATTTAGTACTCTAGCGATCGGAAAAGTTACATTAGAATAATTCACTCAAGAAAACACATATCTTAGTGTCACTTAGTACTCCAGTATATCTGGAAAGTTACATTAGAATAACTCACTTAAGAAGATGCATTTGTTCTAAAATTCTAAATGAACGTCATAATTTACTCCCTAGTAAGTTGAAACATCTGGTGTCAATGTGTTGGATTGGTGAAATCAAATCTTTTGCAGATATAATTAACAAAAAATTGTTCAACTAGATCTAAAGACGTCCTCTATAAGTGCCCACCCTGAAAAGATCTCTATTTTAAATGGAAGTTAAAAGTACAAAATTTATAGGAAATTTTATTCCTAAAAGTGTTCTCTAAGTCTAGAATATTGACTGAAGTTGTATGTCTGATTGGAGGCTTAACTTAGGGACTTCATCATCATCGTCAAAGCCTTTTCCAACTAATTGGAGTCGGCTACACAAATTTTGGTCCGCCATTTGCTCTATTAAAGGCTATGCCCTCAGTGAGGCCATAGGTCCTTGTATCTTTTCTCGCTGCTTCCAACCATGTCGTTTTAGGTCTAGCCCTTGCCTTTTTTAAGTCTTTCATTTGAACTAACTCGCACCCCCGAACGGGTGTTGTATTAGGTCTGCGCAACACATGGCCAGCCGAACGAAAAATCTACTTTCTCTCATCTTATTATCTATTGGTGCCACACCTAAATTTTTTCGATTATATTCATTTTGAATTCTATCCCGTCTTGTTTTTCCATTCATCCATCTCAACATCCTCATTTCCGATACACTCATTCTATGGGTATATAATTTTTTGACCGTTCAACATTCCGCCCCCATAGAATATAGCTAGTCTCACAGTCGTCATGTAGAACTTGCCCATCAGCTTTATTGGTATGCGACGATCACATAGAATTCTGGTTGCATATCTCCACTTCCCCACCCAATTCTAGGTGTGACTTCTTCCTCCATCTCTCCATTTTTCTGGATTATTGACCTAACTCATCTAAGATATCAAGAGTACGTGCTTTTTGGCATTTTCTGGTCAGTAATCTTAACTACTTCCTTGTCTTCGCTCCTATTATTTCTAAATTTGCATTCCATATATTTCATCTTTATCCGGCTAATTTTAAAACCTTTAGATTCTAGAGTATCCCTCCAAAGTTCTAACTTCGTGTTGACGCTGTTTTGGGTCTCATTGATCAAAACTATGTCATCTACAAACAGCATGCACCATGATACCTCATCTTGTAGGTGCCTAGTGAAGTCGTCCATAATTAAGACAAATAGGTAGGGCTCAATGCTGACCCTTGATGTAGACCAATTGTCAATGAAAACTGACTCATCTCTCCACTAGTTGTTCATACACTAGTTAGAGCTTCATTGTACATCTCTCACCAAGTCGATATAGTGTTTGGGGACTTCTTTCTTTTAAGTTTTCCTTTCTCCTCTCTCTCTCTCTCGCTCTCTCTCTCTCTCTCTTTATAACGAAAAACAGATGAAAATTTTCCTCTCTCTGTCCTTTCATTATGAACAGGCATATGTTCAGCAGCTGGAAACTAGCCGCCTGAAGCTGCAACAGCTTGAGCAGGAACTTCAACGAGCACGTCAACAGGTACTGAATGATTAGAAATTGTTTTTGTAGTCTCCCTTTTGTGTGTTGAAGTGAGAGAACTCACTCCAGTGGATATTGTAAAGAAGCATTTATATTTTCTTTTGCTTTTCTTGTGCTTTTGGCAAATGTAATGAGCCCTTGTTGATTTTGGGTTTTCTCCTGACATGCAGGGGATCTTCATTGCAGGTGCAGGAGATCAAAATCATTCTATGGGTGGAAATGGTATGCCTGATATTGAATCCTATATCTTGGACACATTATATATTTATCATGTTCATCATTGAGAAACTAAAACCAACAAGCATAGACACATGCTTTTTCTCTTTCGCCCCCTGCTCTCTCTCTCTCTCTCTCTCTTTCTCTCTCTCACACACACACACACATACACATACACACACACACACTCACACACATGCACACACTCACTCACTCACACACCCATGCACACACCACACACGCACACACTCACTCACACACCCATGCACACACCACACACTCACGAAGTTATAGGTTGAAAATTTCCTCTTGTGGTCTCCATCTTCTTATAGTAGATATATTGGGCAGGGATCAATAGCTTTATGATTGTGTGTATATCATATTATTGACGCTTTAAGTTTTTTTACTTTTAATGATTAATGTTTTCTTTTTCATTTTTTCTTTAATGATGAATGTTTCTTTTTTCACACTCCCAATTTTGAATGTTGAAACTTCCTTTATGACTAAATAATATTGATTTGAATGTTTTAGTTTGTCTAACATGAGAGTTCTATTGCTTACACAAAGAACCTCTCTCTCACCTCAAGTTCTTGCTTGTCCAGACCATTGCTTTGATCAAATAAGTTCCTTTGCCATAGTAGATTGTGGCCTAGATTAGAATTCTCGTGCTGAAGACTACAGTTCATCTGAGGCTCACATATTTAGTGCTCATCATAGTCAACCCTACTCATGTTCGGTAATTTGTGCACTCATAGTTAAATCTATGGATGACATTGGGTTCACTAATAAGGTCTAAAAATGGTTGCTTGGACATAACTTTTTAGTAGTCAATGGTTATATCTTGCTAAATGGTTTAGCCCATTAGTGCATGGTTTCAGAAAGTGCCCCATAGAGATCTAACGAAGCTTTGAGACAATAACATTTGCATCTGTTAAGTAGAAATGAGAATAGAATTCCCATATATACATAAGTACATGCAAAAAGAATAAAACTGTGTCCAATGTGTAACGAAGCAAATTTGAATTAATAGGATGCGACTTTGATGTGGGAATTTCAATAAATTAGCGCATTAACACCTGTTTTCAATTTTGAATTAAGAGGGTGTGGCTTTGATGTGGCAATTTCAATAAAATGCTAATTTTGTTATTAAAATTCTTGTCCTTTTCTTCTTTCATTAACCAATGAAAAAGGTAAATAAGAGAGAGTGCACACTTTTCTTTCTCTTCTCCATGTGCTAATTCTGAATATTGTCTGAATTGCATCAAGAATTTTTTGTAGTCTTCTCCGAATATGAGCATTGGTGAAGTCCCCATTTGGTGGACCATTTCATAGTGAATAGAGTGATTCTTCCCTCTGCCAATGTAGGAGCGAAGAGCATAGGTATCAGGACAAGACCAGGCTGCCTGGTCCGACCGGTCGGACTGCCACCAGTGTCCTGGCCGGTACAATCTAAAGCAAAAACTGGTTTGGTTGAAAACTGATCAAAACCATTGTTTGAGCAATTTTGGCTAAGACCACCCAATTTTGACTGGTTGGACCAGTTAAAAAAGTGAGCGTCGTTTTTTTAATATATCATGTGTTTTCAAACTATTTTTCTTATTTTTCTCTTTATTCTTTGAAAATCTAGTCTATCGAATTCAGCGGTTTTGACTGGACCGAATGCCTCACCGGTCTAGTGGCTGATCTGGTTCTGATAACACTTGCAAAGAGTGGAACTGCTCGGTCCACCACTATTCACGGGTGATTCCCTTTGTAGTTGTGCTTATTAACAATATGCTGCCAAGACATTAGCATCTGAGCCACGATATGAAACTTGTTTTATACATTTCTGTTAAAAACTCCCTTGGTGGAGTTGTTGGGACATCCAAAGGGGCCTAAGCTTTCATATGCCGCATTGAATAGCTGCTCATTATGCATATGCATGCATGTCTGTCTTATGTGTGTGCTGCTAGCAGCACTATGGGTATATCCTTGTCGCCTAAATTTTTTTTGGTATTTTCTTATTGTTGTCCAAACAAATGTTTCAGGGATCTTTGGAAAGTACAAGAGATAAAATAGGTCACACTTTACGCCTACCTAGTGTGTGTCTTTGTAGAATGAGAGTTAGCAGCATCGGTTAGGAGTTACGAGTAGGATCATGCCTTCTAAATCTGTATAATGAGAGTTAGCAGCATCGGTTAGGAGTTACGAGTAGGATCATGCCTTCTAAATCTGTATAATGAGAGTTAGCAGCATCGGTTAGGAGTTACGAGTACGATCATGCCTTCCAAATTTGGAACAAAGCATTAGTTATTACATAAATCCTAGAGGATAATTGAAGCTCATCAAAATCTTTAGCATATTAATCCAGTACTCCAACACATGCTAGGAAATACGATAATTGAAACTTATCAAAATTCTTTAGCAAATTAATTATTAATAGAGCAGTGTCAAAGAATGAAAGGCGAAACATGACACACATGCTTGATATAGTTAGTATATTTTATGTATGCATACATGTGTGTATCATGTCATACGAGTTGGCTGGTGCCTTTCCTGAAGGGTTTCAGTCATTAATTGCCTCAAATTAATTTTTTTGTCATTAAAAAACTGCCAGGGGCATTAGCATTTGATATGGAATATGCGCGGTGGCTTGACGAGCATCAGCGGCAGATCAATGACCTGAGATCAGCCATGAATTCCCATGTTGGTGAAAATGAGCTGCGTATTCTCGTCGATGCTGTGATGCAACATTATGATGAGATCTTTAGAATCAAAGGCACTGGAACAAAATCAGATGTATTTCATATGCTCTCAGGCATGTGGAAAACACCTGCTGAGAGGTGCTTCATGTGGTTGGGTGGATTTAGATCCTCTGAACTTCTTAAGGTAGGTGGCTTGTTTGCATATATAATACTGGCAGTTTACAAACAGTAAACTGTAAATCATATCAACTGTCCGTCATCAACTTCTGTTGGTCAAGATGACTGTTCTGCCAAAGCAGACATTGTGCAGTGGAAATGTTCGCATCCACTCTCACTTGTTATCAATGGACAGTTGACGTGATGTACAGTTTACTCTTTGAAAACTGCAATGCGTCATCTTATAATTATTATTTTTTTGGGTGAGTATCATCTTATTAATTCATTAATAAAAGTGTAGGTTTCTTTTTGGGTGGGTGCTACACTTCCCAACTATCACTTTTGTCTTCAATTCAAGTTCGATATGTTTTAACCTTTGTTCCAACACATCAATAGATTGGCCACTACACCTTGAATGTTAGTCAAGATTCTGTTGCATGTGTATTTATTGACTAGGATTTCTGATATCTAGATTTTTTTTGTCTTTTGCTTTTGATATTTTTTTAAATTTGGTGCTCAATATCTACTTCTCAGTGTTGGTTTGAGCATTTCTCTTGAGTTCAGCTGATGGTTTTGGTTGCAGATACTACTGAGCCATTTGGAACCCTTAACAGAGCAGCAGTTAATGGGTATCTGTAATCTACAGCAGTCGTCACAGCAGGCTGAAGATGCATTGTCACAAGGCATGGAAGCCCTTCAGCAATCACTTGCGGAGACACTTGCATCTGGCTCTCTTGGCCCTCCTGGCTCCTCTGGTAATGTTGCTAATTACATGGGTCAGATGGCAATGGCCATGGGAAAGTTGGGCACGCTCGAGAACTTTCTTCGACAGGTACATGTTGATATGAATTAAAGGTTCTATATGTACATGCGTGTGACTATTTAGAAAATATTCCTGCTACCTTGCATCAGTATTCATACTTTGTATCTATATATACCTAATAAGAACATTTGTGTCCCTACACATCTATATTAGTGATTCCACATGGATTCTTTAAAAAAGAGATAAAAACAGGAGATAACACAGATTGCACATGGTTCACATTTGGATGTTTTTCCTCTCTGTGAATCTCCTAGGAGTAGCCAAAGAATAGAAAGTGGTGTTTGAATTAGTCAAGATTGTTTGAAACACCCATAATTTGTATTGAAGCGCATTCCCATGACTATTGCCCTTTTTTGTTTCCACTATTTTCCATGATCTTTGCCAGTTTGACATCCTTTTTGGGTTCACTCCAAGAAGAAACTATAATATGTTTTCTTATGAATACTAGGCCGACAATCTGCGGCAGCAGACTTTGCAGCAATTACATAGAATACTTACAACACGCCAATCAGCTCGTGCACTGCTTGCTATAAGCGACTATTTCTCACGTCTTAGGGCACTCAGTTCATTGTGGCTGGCTCGCCCTAGAGAATGACTTTGTCAATTTTTCATTTGCTCAAAAAACAAATCAGTAGCGAGACGGAAGGCATCCATGGGGCAGTATCCATCTGGAGCTTGGGTTCGAGAGGGTGGAAGAATGGTGTAATATTACCGGTTGTAAGCTCGTCAATAATAGCCACGATTTTAATTGTGATTATTATAAGGTTTATTGGTTGATTAGGCTAATTTAACTGAGAGGGGGTTTGGAAATAGCTGTAACTTTGTGTTCTGTTGGAATGTACAGTAGCTAATGTATTTCTTTAGTGCTCCCTGTATACAAGAAATGTTAATCATATGTTGACGGCCTCTCTACTTGTTTGTTGTGAACTGTTTTTCTTGAAGGATTTGTTTGACTTATCTAAATTTTATAGATTCAATAAGAAAAAAAGGAAGTTTTTCATCATGGTTTTACCATTTTGCTCTCGCTATCAAGGGCCATATTCTCTATCAAACTATGAGTAATCATATTTCTTCTCACTACTGTCATCAATATCTTTTTGAGGCTTTTTTTATCGGCTTTTTCCTTTTGGAGCCTTCTACTAGAACCAAGTTTTTATAGATTCAACAATTAATTATTTGTAATGTATGAAACTTCTGTTTTGTGTTGGTAGGTCTACATAAGTTCTGAGTGCTTGTTACGTGATTAGTGTTACAGAGTCAATGAGATTCATTTTTGGAGTGATTTACATTTGAACATTTTATTTCACGTGCTTTTGTGATGTAGAATTAACTCTACATGCGGCACCACCTATATATGGATATGATGTGACTATTATTCCCAGTTGTTCGATTTGAATGGATAGAAAAATTTCAGGTGGGTCGGGTCGTTGTGACGTATGACATCATGATTCTACTATCACATTGTTGTTCTTGCATTATCGATGGTTGCCTTATGTATAGTTTGAGCAGTAATGAAGGGTAATGAGTCGCGGCACAATCATCGCAATGAATTAACAATTAAACATAAAAAAAAAAAAATGCTAATGAATTCGTATTATCCCGGCCTCACGGGTTAATTAATTTTGATTGAACGGTGGCAAACATCAATGTTATTTTTGCTACTATAATTATGTAGGTCATGTTATATTTTTCATAAAATTGGTTACTATCTTTATAGATTCCTGGACTTTTAAAGAGAAAATCTTAGCCATTTTTCTTAATGTATTAGAATATTGGATATTGGAAATTTTGGATTTTACCTTGGTAGCATCCTTAGTTTTGGTTTCAGTTTTGAGAGCATATAGACCAATTTTCGTCCTTTCGTTTAGAAAGTGATACATGGGAACTTCAACTTTAGGCATTTTTTCGGCACAAACCACTGTTATTTCTATGACGAGCAACAATGTCAAAAGCAGAGCGGAAAACACCCATTTTGAAATCTTCATGTACAAAAAGATAAATGATATTTTTGTAGACTATCCTTGATTATTCATGAGTGAAGTTTTAGAGTATTTTTCTCATGGCTCATCACCATCTTGTCCATAAGATGGTCACAATTATTTGGAGTATTTAAATTTTAATATTTTTTTGCAACTTGGATTAACCGCTAATTTTGTGGGTGCTTGCACCTCAGTGAGTACATATAAATAAAATATTAAAAATAAATTAACAAATAAAAAATAACCAAACTATCCGTACAAAATTTTTGGGGTATTTTTGTTACTTTATTTTTGTTAATTATTTTTAATATTGTATTATTGTGAGAGTTGGTCAAATGTACACATAGCCCAAATTTTATAGATATTGGATTTATTGAAAAATATTAGAGTTAAAAATACTATTGGATTACTATGAACTTTGGATGGTTTTGAACTATGTGTAAAAAACTGTAGAAATTCACCCAGAGAATTTATAAGCAAGTGTTATCCGAAGCATAAATTAATCAACGGTCTTTAATAAACAAGTGACCTGTAGTATCATGTACAAAAAGCACCATCTTCATCATTGAATCGGGTTTCAACCATGGCATCTCTGTTGTCCATCGGAGCTCTCAATGCATTGAAACTAAGATGTTTAAGGTCGTTATGTAATACATTCTATATTTTATATAAATTTTCTAAAATTAAAATCCATGTTGATTGGGCTTTATCAGCATTAATATATTTCGATGGTTACATGACATAGGTTAGGGCTTTTCAATGAGAATCGTCGTTGGAGTGAGAGGCTTTGCATAAGTAAGGTTTCTATTAAGAATTAAGTGTGGCATTTAGCATTTTTCAATTGTAGACCACTGGTCAAACGGGTCTGATTAGATTTTAAAAAAAAAAAAGTTTATATAAAGCCAAGGCTCTAAACAATCAATTTAGGGTGAAGCTCAAAAATCTTCAATTGATCATCCCAACCTCAAGATCTATGGACATGAGAAAAAATGGATTTCAAGCTTTAAAAATAGTGCATCTTGTAATGCATTTTCAGACTGTCAATTTTCAAGTGTGTTCATGGATCTGCTTTATCTACACTATTTTTTAAGCCTTAAATTTTATAATTAGATATGAAAATAAACTTTTAGGTCATAACAAAGATTGCCAGTATTGAAACAACATTTTTCGATACTATTTAAAGGCACTCTTTACTTTGATGGTTTAGAGCCTTGGCTCTATACAAACCACACCTTTCAAAAAAAAAATCTAAAAAAAAACTAAGAATGATAGTTAAAAAAGGGAATTACATAATAAATTTTTTTTCTAATTTTGTTTGACTAGTCGAATCAATTAGAACCGCATACTCCGATCTGTCAAAATCGGTTAAACAATAATATTGAGTGGTTTCTGACAAAATCATAGTTTTGTGTTAGATCAGTCGTCGGACCGGCTAGACCAGTGCTCTATAACTATGGATTATACTCAATTAATCTCTTGGTCCACATATTTCCCTTCCTAATATCCTCTACCACATGCATGTGGGAATGGGATCCCCAAAGTCATAATTTCTTGAACCCTAAATATCCCATGTACAAAAAAGAATACCTCATATCTTTCTTCCCTTTAAAAGCCTCATATTCGTACCTTGGTTGATTTTTAAGGCCTTTAACATCACCTAATTCCCTTGTTTTTTCTTTAAAATTGGTCTCTTCATCCATTCATGGAAAGATAATGAAACAAGTACCATTTTTTACCTATATTCTTTTGACCTTTTCATGGCAGAATTTCCAGCTTTAAAATTGGAAGAATGTCGGTGGGATGTCGGTAGAAAAGTTGCATTAGTGGATGGATGCTAACTTTGTACATTGCATTATTGCTAAGCAAACAAACACCAATAAAATACCAAAAATAATATCACTTACCATATGTTAAATAACAACTAAAAATATACACATTCTTTTGATTCGTATAATATGTCCCTATCTCCCTTTACATTTGCCACTATTAAGAAGTCACATCACCAAGGGACTTAAGGGGCACGCTTTGTCCAAATCTATATGGCATCATGAAATAGTTTATATAGGTTGTGACCTTATACGGTAGAAGTAAGGTGCACATAAAAAATCCAGTAGAAAAGACTGTTTCGAAGTTGGAAAACCTTATAAGTGATCATCTCAATTTCGAAATCTATGGATGTAAAAAAAAAAAAGAGAATTTCAAGTCTAAAAGTTAGTACATTTTGTAACAAGTTGTTTGGACTGTCTATTCAGGATTTTTGAGTATTTACAAATTTATAAGATCTATATTATTTTTTGAATTTTTAATTTTATAATTAAGATCAAATACAATTTTTCAAGCCATCATAACATTTCTGACACTAAAAATATATCTCGAGAAAAAATTGAGAAGCATGCCCTACTTTTACAGTATAAGGTGTCAACCTGATGTAAACCTCACCCATATAAAAAAGAAGATTATGCAGGATTAGATACCAAACTTTATTGTGTTATTTTAGCTATCATGCACAAAGGGGCATCCTAACCACTGGTCCTAGCATGTGTCGTCTATCCCTACCAGACCAAATGTTGATGTCCATCATCCATTTAAGGTTAAGGGAAGGTATATGCCACTTTGTGTATGTGTGTTGTAGTAGGTTATACTATTATACTATATAGGAATTGTATATTACAAGATTATTTATCTTTGCTAAAGGAGATCCCAATAATCTTTAGCCATCAGATGTAAATTCTGAAAGCTTGAAATGTGTCGCAAAGTTTGAAAGTTTTTCTTTGAAACTTTGAACCTAAACAACATATCTAGTTGCCCGATTTCACATGAAATGGCAGAAAATAATTGTGACATCATTATGCTAAAGATAAATGATCTTATTGTAAACTTTATGAATATGTTATACTTTACAATATGTTCAACAACAATAAATGTTAAATAAAGGAAAGGGTGTTGGTCCAAAAAAGTGGAGATAAAAGAATGGGACAAAAAAACGTAAAGGGCCAAAAAATTATTGAACGAAAAGAATGATTGCTTCGATTTGAATAAATTATATATATATATATATATTCTTGTATTTTTTAAAAATAGACGTTCCAAATTTCAAGTTATTTGAGTTTGAAGAAAAAAAATGAATATTCAAACATGAAATGAGGTCGTGACTGTCAGATCAGCCCAGATTCAATCAGGCCAATGGCTGGCATTGTAGCTATCAGCCCATAGGCAGCTGACAAGATCTTTTCCCGTTATTATATATAACCTTTGTAATTTGAGGGGTTGTGAAGTTTAGATTATCCCCAC